ACCTCTCGGATTATTTAAACAGGCTGCCTTCCTTGATCCCTTCTTTATTCTGTTGATTTCTCTTACGTTAACTCACGCATGTAAACAATGCAGATGTAAACCGGACCGATATCAAAATTCTGACATACGACAGTTCTGCTCTCTACCAGCGAAAAGGGAAAAAGCGCACATGCACCCAGATACTGCAGATAAACTGGGTCAAAGAAACACTTGGCAGTCGAAGCACGACGAGAACACGGAGTTCATATTGCAAGAATCTGAACATATATTGGCTGGAGTCACAAGCCCCGTTGTTATAAGCAAATGTTCACATTTGTGAGTAGTACGCATAAGGACGCGGTTGGCAGTTTCTTTCGACGGTCAAAAGTGAATAAGACCTTTTAGAGCGAATTGCTGTGATCACAATGCTATCTACGGCCTGTTCTGTTCAGCATTTTGTGTGCAGCCGGGAATTGTGATGACATGATCAAAATGAGAAATGTTGTTATGTACACGCAAAAATCAGCCATACCGTCAGTCTGGTTCGTAATAGACAAGCCTCCTCGTACAAGCAGCGGTCTTCTGAAATTATAACGCTGTGACCCGAACTGATTTGACCATCAAACTGTGTATTCAACACCGAAGTCCGAAAGATGATCTGGCACGATTGAGTAAACCTCGTACAAATAACCAATTCTTCGCACACGCACACACACACCCGGTCAATACATTTTGAACAGTATCGAGGCCAATATCTTCAACATACTCAAATCCAAAGGTGGAACGTGAAAACTCGGAGAACGTTGCAAATTAGATTTAGTTGAAGAGGACGGTTGAAAGGTTGACCGTAGTTCTGTTTATACCAAAGGATTCCTTTTAAAAGTGAAGAAGTACCTCGGCGTAATAAAGTTCCCCTTTTGGGCTATATATTCTAATAATAAGATGCTCGTCAGTCATTCTGGAATCCTTGATTTCCGGTTGTAAACGAGGGATTTCAAGCAACTCCTGAAGACGGGATCCCAGAAACTGGGATCTGGACATAAAAGTATTTTCACACCCCATCTAGAGTCCTCGAAAGTCATCATTTGAGTAATTTTAGATTAAGGATGAATATTGTGGATGACATTCGTCCTGTCCTAGTCACTACTCCAGGCATTTAGTCATCAGAAATGTCTTCTGTTCCAAAACGTGGTCGTTTCTCATTTGAATTATTAAAGCTTTATGATCACCTTGCTTTTCACTAAACCAGTGGGATGTTTTACCAATACTCCGGTTCAATCTTCCATAAAGTAACAGCGGTTCGACTATTTCCCCGATTATTTATTGTATGCACACTGTTGAGCTCTGTCAAACGATGCGGGAAAAAATCAAACACTTAGTGTTGCTGTATCACACGTGATGAAACAAGTGGGAGGCTGTGTCACTTTGATCGATGCTGAGGTGAGGTGATACCTCCAATGTGGCACTAATACAACAGTGTGCTTTCCACTTCACTAACTAGTTTATGTGATTTGTTCCAGCACGGATCCAAGTGGGCGCCTGACCGTTCCGATCGATAATACGGCCTAAACCACTACCAACCGAGTGCAAATGTCTATGCGCATGGATAGGGGGGGGGGGGATTGGCACACGGCCACGTGAGATCATGATGGTGCGCTCGATCAGTGAATGAGATCGGATAATGTTGATAAACGGCTTGCTCTGTACGAAGTGTTTGGGTGTGCTGACTGGATCATGTGTGTTACCCACATCGATTCCAATGATTGGTCAGCCCAGTGCAGATACACGGATATCGCAGTCCTATTGAAAATAAATAAATAGTTACATGAGGTGCATATTCAGTCATAAAGCAGCGGAGCCAGCACCTCAAGTCCGACAGATTTGAAATTTGTTATAAAGCCACCAGTTTTCCTGCCCTTAGTTTTGTTGTGCTATTTCAAATCAGACCGCAGAAAGTCGTGTAACTGTTGTCGATTCACCACAATCGAACCGCACTTGCCTGTCAAAATTTTCTCTCGAATTTTTGAATATTTATTAGCTCAGTCTTGCATCTATTTACATTCTTCTTGGATTGGAAATCAACTCGGTAGAATGGCAATCAATTCGTTCTATATTTCAAAGACTTGTGTTCTTTCAGACCATGAATAGCTAGACGAGGAGGTTTGTGTAAAAAAATTTATTTAATTACTTCCAAACCCGGTCCCGTAAACATATTTACTTGTGTCTTGATGTCAGATGCCCAGAACAACATTATGTATTTGATTTATTATTTGTATTGGCTTCTAGTGCAACTATGCGAAATACACGGTGATTCACTCCCACGATTTCTTCACATAGGGTTAGAGTAAGCCTATGGGTTGTTTTGGATTCTCACACTGCTGAATTCCGTGATTTGGTGAAGATAACTGACAGCCGACTGTTTGTGTATGATGACCGAATAGACATGGAGTACGTGACATATCACTGAGCTACTGCTATTCACATGCCTACACGTACACTTGAAGAACGCTGATTCATGGTGTTCTATTCGATGTGTTGTACCTGCTTTATTCAAAAACTGTTCAAGATGTTGGGCTTTCATTTATCATAGTGTGCTCAATTTTGATGAGCTCGATATTCGGGATGAGTGTGGGATAATGATCGAAAAAGCATGGATTGGGAACGGTTCTGTGATGAATTAAAGACCTGTATGAGCAACGATAAAGTGCAGGGTATTGCGCATGATATAAAAGGAAGGTAATAAGGAACAGGAGTCCCCATTCAAGGAGTACAGATATCTGAGTTCGGATTAGCCCGAAGGTAAATGTTGTAGGAGATTAAGAAAGCCCTTACGTAACCCCGAACTGGATAAAATGAACGTATGTGTGGTGTGTGTTAAAAACGACATGAATTGCTTACAAAAAGTCGATAGTTATTTGACCCCTTCCATACACATATCCTCATCTTCATTTTGTGTGAAACAACCCGATAACCATGTGTTACCTTACATTGAGCAGATGGTAGGCTCTTTTTGGTTCCGGTATGTATTCGCACTGTAACGCTTTGACCGTCAGACGCTGCGCCCATTGAATCGGGACCCAGTATTCTGGTGTGTAGCGTGTTTTCGTTCGCTCGTACCAGTCACTGGCAATAGATTGAAATGTATTGATCTCCTCCTCGGTGATGAGTTCGCCAAATGTACGTCGCACACCTGTAAGTGCATTCAATGACAAATAAAAATAACATATTGGTACACAGTTTTTAGATGAATAAACTATATTATGATATATACTGATAAATACAAAGGAGTTTTACTATAATATATTGCGCGATTATTTACGCGTTGTGTTCCGGTGAAAGAATAAACTGTTTCTTACAGGAAAATAAGACTAAATTATGACTAAAAAATACATCTCAAACTGGATGTTACAAAAAGCACATGGGGTCTGACAGATCCAACCCACTTTTATCATTGTTGAATGCTCGGAGAGTTTCGGTCAGCTGATTATCATCGGCCGCTTTGAAGGCATTGAATTGAGGAAAGCTGACCCCTTCCGGTGATGGCGTGGGAAGTGAACACGGGGATGGACAAGGTTGGGCGTTCTCACGTCGACCGTGTATCCCAAATCGCTTCGGAGGTTTTTCCGCCTCGTCTTCCGTCCCGATGGACCACGGATGGTAGAAATGATGCGTGCGCATTGATTTGGGCAACAAATTGCCAACCGAGAATCGTTTCGAGGTCTGATCAGACATGAGACGTAGAAGCAAAATCCATGCTAGATTCACGTAACGCATCAGTGTAATTCGGATTTTCCGAGTCGACAGTTCGTCTTTTGCATTGACACAAGTCTGTTCATCCCGAGAGCGTGGGGGTAGCGAGAAACAGCGAAACGTCAATACATCGGCAACCACTAGTTATATGCAATGCTATGATGTCAAAACCATTCTTTCAAATTTCATTTCGTATTTTTAACTCATTTGTACCAAACTAGAGCTCAAACATTTTCCAGTATTCTCCCAATAATCACTGGGAATACAGATTTGTTCAACAAAGGGAGAAAGAACTAGTTGCACACGAATTCATGCTGCGGCATCGCATCTCTATTCAGCCTCTAAACAATTCTCTACACCGCGATTAAATAGTCACATTTTGATCCCTCATTGTACTTTTGTCTTCCCTAGTAGTTACAGTGATCTATGTGTGTACCGGTAAAACTGAAACAATTTTAGACACAAAAATTTGCCTAAAGCGAGGACACAACTGAGTGTGAATGTCACATGTAAACTGACATCAGTGAGTGTTCACTATTCGATTTGGGGTGTTTGCAAGGGTGTCCCAACCGAAGCTTCCATGAACATTTCTGCTATTGGTGGCTTAATTGTTCATCCATCTCGAACCGATCCAATACGTCTAAAGGGTTGACAATGCCCTCAATCTGCATGGACTGCAATCATTGGCCCATATAAACATTACAACGGTGTGTGCTCTCTCTTGATCCGATGTCATACGTTTTCTATACAAAAGGACTTCCTATCATGTTTGTCTTAGTTAATCAGGCGATACTATTGTGTTTTCATTTGTGTCGTTGCATGGAACAATTATCAAATGCGTTGCTTTCTACAGAAAAATAAATATTAATAATTTTTGGAGCTTTGAGTGTCTGTCGTTGACCATTTTTCCCTCGTAACACGTGATCTTCCCATGTCTGATATTTTGAAAAAAATATGATCCCCTGTCACTTTTGCGGCTAGGTTTTGGAAGCTAGAGGCTCCCTGTGCATAAGGTATTGTTGTTTGGTCAATTTTGACAACAAATATGTGCACAGTTTTGATGTGATTGATATAGTTCCAAGTTTTTGACCGTCTCACGCACCAACGTTCCCGGAAGTTTCTATTCTTATTTTCTAACTAAGGACTGTTTTTTTTCTGTTTACTAATATGAAACCAAGTTACCTCGGGTAATCCATGCTTCATCACCACATTAGAGATCTGACACAGTTATCGAAAATAAATGGGACTTTCACCCGAAAAATAATACATGAATGCGAAAACGCATCCATCACTCGTAGCTCGTAAAGTTATACATTTCTTGCTCACAAACATGTTAAAATTTCGCACCTCATCATACAGCTGTGACTAGCGATTTTGAGTGAGATTTGGTCTGATAGGAATCAGCTCACGATGTACAAACGTAAGGAACCCGTAAAAACCTATGAACTGGGCACATGTTGGATCAAGTCCGGAATAGTTTTCGCCACATGGTAGTAAAACGTGTGAAGTTTGCTCGTTCAAACGTCATGTCATCACGGAAACAACTGAAAAATGTTATTAGACTAAAACCATTATGCTAGAAAAGAGAAGAAGCGAAATCACAATTATCAGTGCAAGATATGAGTGTAGTGAAATTTTAATCGCGGTTAATATTTGGCGTCTGGCTTGAGAGAACTAGAGATTACAGAGAAAAACGGTAGCTCATGGTTCAAGCATACCAAAATAGCATAATCATTTCTACTAGATTGCTTTGATTTACAAGTGGGTACGAGGTTTCGAGCCATATCTTCATGAAACAATTCGTGCAAAACGAAAAATGTTTTTCGGACAATAACATCCAGTAATTAACTATCGCTGACATAGAATGCGGTAGCGTCTGCTTTCTTAGATTGACCAAGTCGAGAGGAGAAGCTCAGCGGCGTAATACTCACGTAGAGAATAACTAAAACGAATAGCTTTCAAATGAATGATCTTAACATACTACATGATTCTTACACAGGTGAAAACGATCTAGGCGCGTGCGTGTGTATGTGCAAAAACTGAGCAAATCCTTCATCAATCCCATGGAACAAATAGTTGGGTTCGGAATGTTTTTAACCGAGTCACAATCCCGGAGACTGGAATTGAGATACGCGAGTTATGATGCCTACACGCAGCTCGCGTTATATAGTGTACAGGTGAGATGAAAAATGGTCTGATCAGCAATTCGTTGATCAGGTGGACAGTATGCTCACTTTACATTTATGAGGTCTCAGGTCCGATCTTCAGTTTGGTTGGTGAATTTACTCTATTGGTGATGATCAATGGATTCGAAAGAGCTAGACACCTTTTCAGTTCATGCTTCATTATCTATGTAAACAATGAAATACCCACTAGATAGAATTGAGTTTGTGTTCAAAGTGTGAATACACGCAATTCCTTGGTTAATTTATTTTGCACAAATGAAAACAAAGATGTGATAAAAGAAGAAATTTTTGAGCTTCACATCCACATCTACATACTATCACAGTGGGGTTCTGCGTCAACCAGTATATCAGATACCAAGCATCAACTGACAGATCAACTCGGCTCACCCGCCGTGTGTACAAATGATTCACATAGTACGGTAGTATTAGAGACCGAGGGTGATTAAATCAACATATTTTAGCTCGGTCTTCACTAGACAAGAGAAGAATAAGCGAATCTTGTCTCCTGGATTCCATGATACATCCAGTTCTCACAGTTCTTTCAGACATGGCATTACACGCACCTCNGCACCTCGATCTACGTCAGCTCCAAAAACATTTTCCTTAGACTGGCTACCATTCGGACCATAGGGGATGTCATTTTCTTCCTCGAGAGGAATGCACTGCAGATAACAGAGCTCGACACCCAGGTGCTATGGACAGGATTTCTCCAAAAACTTGGAATAAAGCTTTAGTGAACAAAGGGAGCCACCCGTCCAGCAAATAGCTATTGATTTAGTCACCCAGATGTAAATAAAATTCAGTCCACCACTGTCAGATTTCTTTCTTAATGCCTGTAACCTCCGTCCTCGGAAAAGTATCAAGCCAAACGCTAGATTGGATGATAATCCATTCTTCATATCGCTGAGCTTCCTTATGCAACGAGCTGTATAAAAGTGAATTGGTATCCATGCAGACGGAATGCTGACTTGCAGAGGACGGGTTCTCGAGTATCGCAAACTCGACTGCTCCTCGTTACATCTAAAGAAGTGTGTGTAATAATTGTCCTGTTGACTTGTTTCCAGTGTTTTTTGCTTTCCAAACCATATCAAACCCGACAGCGGTTCAAATCTAATGAAACACCATCTTTATGATGGGTAATTTTCCCTGCATTGTTGATTTCGACTTCTAACAAATCGGACTCAAGACACGAACCGCATTCTCTGATCAAGGTTTGTTGGAACCAATACAAGGAAGTTGGCATTCTTGTGGTTGAGACCACCAGGGTCTTTTCTTACCCATCAAACACACGAAATGCGTAACAAGATACCGGCTTATTTAGAACAAACATGATTCAACGATTTTCTGAAAACGCTAGTCTCATTAAAAAAAACAGACAGAATTGAGATGGTATTTGATCACCGGGCAGTAGAACAAAATAACCAAACAACCACCATGGGATCGAAGGAAATTCTCTTGTATCTGATCATATGACGAAAGCAGTGAAAGACCAAGTGACACTTTGTGATGTGTACACAAACACGAAGTGCGTAGCCTTTTTGCGTTGTCCGTTGCGATGAATTTTATAAAAGGAGTTAAAATATATCATACAAGTAGGTCAATATGGGGTGATAAGATATCAAATTAAAAACAAATGTTTCACGACACAAACTACAGAGGCAGCAAAATTGGCGAGCGATTCACTCACTACCCCCCGTTTGGTGGTTAAAATGTGAGCTCACCATGAAACAGGTGAATTCTTATAAATGGTATTACGAGTAGTAGTATAAAGGAAACCAGAACATATTATTGTGTGTGGGATGTAAGTGACAGGAAGAGTGCAATGAAGACTTGTGATTCAAAACTGGTTTATTGAAAAAAGAGGAAAGACTTTCACGAATAAGCTGGTTCCAACTGAGGGGACTACCGCTTATAATCATGATATCCCACTGTAGAATTTGTCAGTATTGTTTTGGAAGTCTAAATACTACTATGGGATAATAAACAAATAGGTTTGTGCGTTTGGAACTTTTCTGAGCTTGCGAATTTCGAAATGAAGTCACCGTTAATTACCAATGCGTGAATACATATGACAGATCCATCTGGTGTGTGTGTGTGTGTGTGATAGTATAGATGACCATCTCCAGGTACCCAATATAGTTTAATTTAGAGGGAGAGAGTTCAAATTATTGATGAACTCGTCGTGTAACTAAAGCGCAAGCTGAAAAGCTTGAAAGTACTGGAAAGTTGTTTCGACCTGGTTGTGTCTCGTCAGCAGTGCGCAAGTTCATCGACTCAACTGCGGATCGCGAACCTGAGATCTCACAGGCAGAATGCAAGAATGCCACCTACTAAACCACCGGAAAGCTGTTGTTGTAATAAAAATTTAGATTGTCTTTGGGGGATGATGATCTCAAGAGAGTTAAATATACTCCAAACCTGTACATACATTCATCGTCTATCAAAAATTAAAAAAGCGGCCTAATATTTAGCATGTTCTTTCGAAATATATTGACAAGTAGCTGCACTGCATACAGCCTAGTATAAAATGATACTGTCTATAATTTAGGACCTACACAGGAGAGGTACAAGAAAGGTCACTGATCTACGCAGAAAATTCAGAAAAGATTGTGTCTGACAGCAATCGGGAGTTGCTGACGAAATCGAGACCCAGTGTAACCTTCGGTTAGCCAAATAAGCAACCTGTTTGGACAAATGTATACAATTCCTGGAACGGTCATGACTGAGGAGCTGACTAAAAGATTGAAGATTTTAAACAAATACGAATCTGACCCAATTCTTCTTTGGGAATGTGGTTGGTGCTCGATTTCGCTACAATGGAATGACATCTGATGGAACGTGATTTTGATACTGAGCTCACAATTCATTGTGATTAGCGGTGTGGATTGAGTTAGACCCAGTGTCCTTCAGACTGCATGTATCTGTATAATCTTTTTTCATTTAATCGAAGGGACAATCAGGAGGCATTAACAACTCGCGTTCTCCTCTTGATAGACATCATGATCACGCGGAAGGTACTTTATAGACCAGCTAAAACCGGTCCAAGTTTGTTCTGAAAGCTTCCCAACATAGGACTTCCTTGCATGTGACGGTGTCCGTCAAGAAAAAACTTCGTGTGATGCTCCTCGAATATAAGGTCGATTGTTTGAAACTAAACGCTTCGGTGCCGTATCTCCACCGAATGTGAATTCTGAGTGGTGGACCCATTAACAGTCCGAGACTAATAAACTGCGCTCACTCCATTTAGTACTTCTTTTTCCATCAGGCTTTATTGAGCGGTCGTAACTGTATCTTATATTGCTGCGTTAATAAACTAATGATAGGAGTGAGGATGTATTTTTATGAACATCATTGGTCTGACAGAAATCGACCGGAGTTTCAACTGCATATTACCGGTCACATTTTCTCCTCAAAAAAGTAGTAGGATAAGTGAAGCTACCATTTACCTTGTGTAAGAAGTAAACTCTCCTCTACATCCGAAATTGAGGAAATGTCATACCAGTGACTGAAACACAACGAACACACAGACCATCAAATTGACAAGTGGGTTATCAATGATTGCGTTGCTTGAAAAACTCTAGATTCATAACCCGAATTGCTTTAGATTTCTAATTTCCAGGGGAACAGGCATTAGAAATTCTGGAATATCTGTTATCAGTATCCATTGTCAACTGTCTTCCCGCACCGTATTTAAGACTCTGCTCGGAGAATAAGTTATGCATTGTTCAACAGCTTAAGGATAAATTGCCTCGTCATTCTTAAGTCTTTGTTCTATATCAGTTTACGTGCAGTTGTTTGTGCTTGTTCAAGTTGGAACTCACAAACAGACGTTTGTCCAAGAGAATATTTAAACACTGCCCTACCGCTTCTCAAAAAACAGAAGCAGTGAACTTGAACGGTTCAATTCTGCAAAGGATGGTCGACAGTGTACATTTTCCCCCCGGGTTTGCCCTATTCATTTATCATGACCTCATAGCTTATTATCAACCAAACAGTTTGCACACGCACATTCATTCAACATCAACACAAGTCTAGTATTCATCTATTAATTACTCGAGCTACATGTGTGAATGTCAGATTCGATATATTCATTATAAATTTGTTCACATTTTCACTTGGTTCTTGTGCATTAATGCGAATATTTTACAGGTAAAGTAGTGTTGTTGATCTGGTTACACCGTCCAATTTTGACACTCAAAGTAACTGATGCAATCAGTTTACTTATCATGAAATAAATATTTTCCTTTCATTCCAGTAGTCCTTTTCTATCGTTACATAGCCGCTCACTGGAGTTTGCCAACCTGACTTATTTCCTTGTTGTAAGCTAACGATTGAGGAGATCAGGTCAAATTCGGACGTTTTCCAATGTGTCCTACTTCGGTATTAATGCACAGCATGAAGATCCAGTGTTTAAAATAGTTCACTGTTTCTCTATCAGTTTGTGTCAACAAGTGACGTGAAACCGAGGAGAGCAGCTAACTGTTTCTAATGATCTCTACTCCTACTCTTACCTCTCACTCATTTGAGAGAACGGTACAGATACTCAACTCATCGGCTAGTTTACTGGTCAAACACAATCGCTTTCGGAGATGTGACACCAGGGTGATTCTGTGTGTGGTTAGACCATGAAAAAATCTGCGCAGGAAATTTCGATTTGATTTTCAACCATCACACCTTGTTTACTATCACTGCTTGATTGTCTGCCACACTTCCGAAAAGTATATTATCCAACGCATAGAATCCAATCCAACTGGTTTCGTGTCAAAAGTGTTCTATCCCGCCGACCTGGCAATAGTCATTCAACGGAACTATACACTCAAACATACGCACACGTACATACACACACAAGTCTTAAAGTTTGTTTGGAACTGTCACCGTGCGTAACAACTGCTCTAAGTTTTGTTTCACCAGTTAACTTCAAGTTTGTTCTACGAAGAATTTAGCAGTTGAAATAAACAGAATGCGTGGGAGACAATCTTCGTCTGACATACCATCTGACTTGAGTCACACTTCTGCGATGTGATTCTTTCTGTATGATACAAGCACGCTATCAATCATCGGATCCCGTGATGCAACTTCTGAAGTGCCGTTGAGAGTTTTGGCTAGGCAATGAAAACTAGTGAAACAGCCTTTTACGATATCCCTGTCAAATGATCAGGAATAAAATCCAAAAGAAAAAACTGTACTTCTTTTGCATCAAAAACTTAATTACCTGATCCCAAGTTCTGAAAACGATGTACAGCTCTCAAAAATGTTATTGTTTTGTAGAAGAGATTAAAGATTTTATGGTTGGATTCCTGCTTCATGAGGGAGGGTAAGCCACTTCTTTATTAAATCGTTGAAATTCCGTAATTTTAATATGAGCTAATGGTCACTGTGAAGGAAACGTATATTCCACCCTTAAGTTGTTTTTCGTACACCCCATAATAATGAACCCATAAGGCTTAAATTCGTTTCAATTAGTTGTCGCCTTTGCATCTCTCACCTTTCCAATGCACCAATATGACCACTCTTCTCTCTAAACTTACCAGATCCAATATTGTAAACCACGACCTACCATTGTCTCGGTTGCCCATTCTAAGTCATTCTATCTTGTCTATGACCGGTCAAAAGGACTTTATCATTCACATGGAAAACGTCCTATGACCCAAGCTAAAGAAATACTATAGTGTCACTACTACGATAAAAACTTCTTTTTCTTCTACTTATAGTTATTTTGTTGATGGATCCTAGAACCATTAACTCAGGTGATAATAGCCTTCGCTAATAAATCTATTGGTGGATACTCTATTCGTTGTCCATGGAAATTTACAAATGTTGTCCCTATGATTAAAACGTCGTTCTTTGTTATTCTATTGAAACTTTATCGTCCCATCGCCATCAATTCTTCCGCTCTAAAACTCGTTGAACGTGCTATTCTCAGCTGTCTGCGCTCTTTCTAAACGGATTCTCANCCCCCCCCCCCCGAATTTTCTTATAAAACAAACTGCTCTTAGTTAGATACGGTATCATTTGTCGTTCAGTTTATAGCTAGGTCGCAGAAGCTCTCAATGAAGTCTGTTCGTTGTGCAATTCTCGATTATTCTTCTGAATTCGACTCGGTCCCTCATTCTGCCTTCCGCCACCCATCACAGTTGTTTGGTTGTCTTAAGCCAATCATTTATTTATTAAAGAACTATTTTAATGACAGATATCAGCGGACCGATTTGGCAACGATTTTGTTGTCCGTTGGTGAATTCGCTAATGGCTTTAAGGATTTACCTGTTCCACCATATCCTAAACTTATGGTGTGCGCAGATGACGTGGTATTTTTTCAAGCTGTTCAAAATCACTCTGATTTCCCTTCATGATTTGATAATCTCACTACCATTCGGAACTTCTCACAGCAATCAAGCTCTAATCTCAAGTTGTCTTAATTCTTTGAATGTATCTTTTTTCTTGCGAATTTTTCCTACCCCAACGAACCCCAGTGCATTGGTGGTTCTCCTGCTCTTAATGTGAACACCATCAGTTACCTTGGTGTGACCATAAAAATTATTTTCAGATGGTTTATTTTAGGCTTAGTAGTTTTAGCAAACTCAGACGTTTTAATTTCAACATCCGCAGGTTGAGGCAATTCACTGCCGCAAACAGTCCGCTATTTCTTCCTTTGTAAATGAAGATTTCTAATCCATTATCCTCCACTGCTCTCGTACCATCTTCCCCGATTGACTGAGAAAAATAACTATCTCAGTGATCTTTCTCGTGGTGTAGCCAGTTTATTCATTTTCATTTCACTCATTCTGATGGGCTTCATTGTTACCCAATTTCTGTCATCTTCGTATTGATTATTGTGAATGTTTGCTCGCAAAATATTCGCTGATTACACACATCCTCTTTATTTCAATTTATCTGTCGGTCTTCTTCATTGCTTAACTCGGTCTAGTTTTTTACTCGTTCGTTCGATAATTAACGTTTATCTAAGTTCCCCTAATTCTTATCCAACTCATAACTTTGATGATAACGGTGAAGTGGTGATCGAGTTGTGGATGAATTTTTTGGGTTGAATTAAGTTTTCTCTTTCTTTCTCTCTTTCTAGTGCATTTTATGTTTTTATTTTTCGTTTGCATTTCTCTGTGACAATGTTACGAGTGTCTTCTGACTAAAATATCAAAAAAGCTGCTTAGAAAAGTCTATATCACAATTCTCAATACAATAAAATAGTTCACAATGCCTAATGGCCATCAATCTTTCATCTGTTCAACAAACCAAGGAATGATGCAGGGCACCACATTTTCCCCTTTTTTACTTTAAACATAATTATCATTTGCCACCTAGTCTTTCAATTTTATTCATAGTGGTGGTAAATACCATAGCCATACTGTACTCCCTCCCCCCGTTAGCTGATCGTCAAGTCAACCACTGAGTGATCCAAAGAAGTGAACTTTTATTGAATTCAGTTGTTCCTTTTGCTACTCGTAACAAAATAGAACCTTTTCGTTTCTCGTGTCTGATTCATCTCTTTGTCATATTTTGGTTGATTTGTCAGCAAACAATTACCAGACGAACTGAAATCCAATCTACTTCCATTCTCCCATAAAAATGTTTGTTCAGTACACGAGTATTATTCAGTATTTTTCGTCACCATCTTACACAATATATATGTCTATATATACATATATATGCGTTTTGTGGTGATCCGCGCAAATACTACTGTGAAGTCTACACAGTCTGTACTTTTCGAGGTATAATGATCTACCCTGAACAAAGGTTGTTTAATCTTGAGTTGAACAAGGAACGATCATCGGGTAAGCCACGTACTATTCATCCCAACGATCATCAGTTGCAGTCGGATGTGAGTAAGAAGGTTGCTCGTTTCTTCACTCCCAGTGCAATTACCCGACATTTTTGAAGTCATCCTTTTTGATTTCACCAAAGAGCCAAATTGCTCGGTATGAAGTCTTTAACCAGCACGAATCCCTCGAGAGTCATTGCTACGAGCTATTTGCTGCCTCATAATTGGCACAGAACACCAGGATGTATCTTAAAAATCATGTGACTTTGAAAGTAGAGTTGGAAACAAAAGAATATCCCAGGAGAGAATTAGCGACTGTATTTGGCCAAACTACCAAGCATTTTGAAAAATGAAAACTTTATGGATTGTGATTCACCTGACAATCTCTTTGTGTTCTGTTGGGAATGGAGATTTTGATGTGAGGGAAAGAGATTTGATCCGTTTAGAGAGGTTTTACATTTTTGAATATGTTCGAAGTTTGCCAGACCGAAGATGTTATATGATGTATCGCTCTAAACTGGTTCAATTTTCGAACCCCATTTGATTGATCAATAAATTTATTAGGCTCCATAAACGTTTCGTCATTTGCTGAATAATATGGGACAAAATAGTATAAACTTATTGTGTTTGACTTCCTGAGAACAATAAGAAAAACCAATGCAATCCGTAAATTAACTAGCGTATAGAAACCCGTTATGAGGAGGTGAATTCAAATCGTCATCTCTTCAAGATCATAAACAAAAATGGTTTCCGAGTTTGTCTGACTTGATTATGTATCTGTCTGTCTGTCTGTCTGTCTGTCTATCTGTCTGTCTTTCTGTCTGTCTGTCTGTCTCTCTGGCTATCTATCCTCATTGACCTGGTACATCTCAGAACTGGTTGAAATTGGCAGCTGGAAGCATTTTTATTCGCAAAAGGTTGTTGTTTGTGTGCAGCCCATTTTTCACTACATGTTTGGCCAATAATATCCCACCTTGACAAACACTCCTCAAGTCAACAGAGGAGCACTCAAAACAAACGTGTTAGAATTGAATTGACAAATGATCGCGGAGAAACATTAATCAGCTGAAATTCTAATGTGAATACCGTTGCTACGCAATTCAGTAACGGGTTCATAAATCATTTAGGAGTATTTCACGTAGATCAGTGACATAAAAAAAACAAAGTTGTATGACTGTGATATAAAAGCCACACACACACACTCTGCGCTTTTCATTCACATAATGACTATTTTTTTATTATTATTCTATTAGCGTTATTGAGTTCAGGAATGAAAAACACATCAAACATGTAGCAACTTGGTCAAAATGAAAAAAATATCGTAGACAATGTGTATCTATTAGGTTTTCACATTTCTATTTTGATTTGTTAAAATCACACGTGCCTTTCAACTGTATAGTAAATTCCGGAAAGATATTTCTGGTTTAGAGAAAAGCGTTTGGTGCAATAGACCAGAAGTCAATGGATGCAGTCCAGTTGGATATAAAAAAACATTATTGTTACGAAATATTTTGCAACCACGGGATTATCATTTCCACTACGATTTCTTTTTGTGATCAGGTTAATTATGAATCTGAATGAAAGAAGGCCGTTCACGGAATATAGTGCTCACCGATATGGGTTTCACTACAATCATGACACCACAGGCTGTTTGATTGTTAGCAAGGATTCAAAAGAGTGCGTATTACTGATCAGTTCGAATGAGGATGAAACAAATTTGTGTTCCAGCCCATCCCTGTTATTCGATCCCCGTCCATATAGCACTCAAGCAATAAAACACAACAGGAATTCAGCATGACGGAGGACAAAAGTTGGAAATTTAACTTACAGTTATGTCCAAAGCGACCCGATTCATCCATGGAATGCACGGGAATATGAGAAACCAGCGACCCACGATCCCGGAGACGAAAAATCCGAGTAGGAACGAGATGGGAATGTTGCGCTTTGCGTGTTCACAATAGTCCACAACTTGTTCAAAAATCCTATAAATTTGTGAGAGAGAGGGAATAGAGAACCAGAAGGTACAGTGAAGTGCGGCAAACAAGATGCCCTTGTTTGGAAGGTTAACCGTAGGAAGTCTACGTGTTATCTTTGACGAAGAAACACTGATTAAGTATTTTGATAGTACAATTCATCGAACGCAAGTCACTTCAAGTCAATTGAAGCTTTATGCCCCTAATTGGATGAATTTTCATAGTGAACATGAATTTGGAATAACCTGAAGACCAATACAGTACAGCAGGCCCAAACTAAATGGGTACGTTCATCTTTAGAATCCATCCTATCAGTGATGGGATATAGCCACTGGGAGCTGATCGGATTCTTCCTGATCTGTGCGCGTGCCTGTGTGTGTGTGTGATAATTCCACTCGCTCCATGGATTACGCACACCAGATAATGCTGTCACACACGGCTGACTTTTACTCTCACTACTTGTTCCGCTCACACGGTTAACAAAACACTGCGTGAACTTTATTCTCCAATTCAGTCGGAATATGCCCCTAGCAAGGAAGATGTAAAATGATGCGAGAAGGGAAAAAATGGATAAAGTTAATTCGGTAGATCGTAATAGTACTACTGTGAAACACAGTACATAAAAGTTTATATTTCCTCGGACACATCAGCAGTATATTTGGACTGAGATCTTATGGTGGTTCAAACGCGACAGTGTACCCTAAAACGATTTACGTGTTATAACTGAGCTCACATGGCTGTCTCGGATCAAAATGGCATGTCATTCGTTCGGTATCAACAACGGAAGAACCGCATTCGGTCGACCGTGACGATCTACATCGTGAAGATATGTGAGATGCAGTTCCTGGAAAATGTTTGCATAAAGACCGTATCCAATGACGAGTAATTGAGAACTTGCTTTGGGAACTGATCCACGTTAACCAAATAAATGATGTATATTGGGTTTTTCTGGTTTATGTAAGTTCAACTGTACCACAATACGTAATATGATTGTTCAGACATTGTGTCAAAGAGAATGAATAGGAGGAGCTCGACATACTTCACCCATCATACAATTAGTTAGTCATCGAATTGCATGACCAGCACTTAGGTAATTTGAATTGATAATCTCGGTTGTTAAGCTCACAAATGCTCACGTCACCGTTGCGGAAAGTGGCTGGGAAATGAAGCCCTGTATCGGATGGATGAGTAGGGGATGGGATGCATCGGCTGCAGCATAACTATACTAACTCATTGGCAGTTTCAAACACTGTGCAAGTTTGACTTTTCCGTGTGTGCAGACGTAGTCGCCAAGCTGAAACGAATGATGAACTGATTTCCAAGATTTTCATTTTCTAGACATTAAAGTTGAGAACATAACCAGTTCAGACAGTCTCGTTATGATCTGTATGGCGGTGTTCAAGTGACCTGGATTTCAAATCCCGCCATCCTCACTCATGGTCTGCATTTAGATATTTCCTCAGACAGCTTGTGCATAGCCGCAGTCTCTTTCCTGAAAGTTGATTGTACACTTTTATACTCAATGAAGTAAGATGGGGATGAGGACATTTATTTGTAATTCGTTATTTATCATGCCCTCAAATGAGATGTGTAAGTTGAAATTAAGCACAAAACTGAAATGCACGGTGCTGAAGGGTATAATTGTATAGAACCAAAACATCTCAGTGGTATTCCAATTAATAAATTCATCAGCTTTATGAATGCCGAGTAACTAGAAAAGATGGAAGGCGGTACAAACAGAGTCCTGGGGAGTGACCAAATCAAGAATGGGGATTTTGAATTGGATCGATAGACGTTTTTCCCAGTCAGCTCGTCTTCTCGCTACAATATGGTTTGCAAGTGCCATTTAGTCGCTCGTTCGATTCGCCAGTTGACCCCAACGTAAACGATGATGATCAATGTTTGAAACAAGCTCATTGCTGATGAGGCACCGCAATTATCGTTTATGTTCATGAGTTTCAAAAAGCGATGCTAACTGATGAACGTAAAATTTATATATACTAATTTCCTCATCTTAGTGATTTCTCACTTTACAAACTTCCAAAAATGGATTGTGCAACTAAATAATAAAGAAGGAGAATGTTTAATGAGATATTCTTCAAATTTGATGAAATAAAGGGATCATATTTAATGTAAGATCAACTAACAATATGCTTTTACAGATGTACGAGAGTGGACTGCTATGGGAAAAATACGTGATGGCCCACAAGGAGCACTATAGACAGGTATTCTACCCATGTCTTCAGCAGTGCGTGCTTTTTCTGTCTCGACCAGAGCTCGAATCGCGGACTTTCGGGCCACAGTCGAGCCACTAACCCCTGAGTTGCGTAATTTGGATTCGAGAAAAAGACGTGCGCATTGATTTGATGGCGATCGATACAGTCTATTTCGTTTCATTTTGTAACGGTAACCTCGGAATTATTGGAAACACTGACGGAAACAGGCGGTTTTGATTGTGGATGACTTTTTCGTTGGAAACCTCTAATCCGAAATTGAGCAGTCAAGCCTAATTACAATTTTACGAATAAAAATAACGCTTGTGGATACGAAGCGAACAACTTTTGGAGACTAACTATTTGCACGTTCACCCATGTTTAGCCGTTTGGATAAACTAGCAGTTCCTGTAGATGAGCCGCTGGTATGTTCGCAGGGACATGATGATTAATCCTCGAAAATGAACTGTTCAGGGAGAGCACTGTTATATGATTAAGTATATTTCCGTGAAATATGACACAGATGCTGCGTCCGCATTAAAACAACCTATCGAAGTGAGAATATTGGGCGGCAATGGTAGGATTCGAATGCACAACCACCACGTTGATGAGTGGATAGCATAAGCTGCTTTTCCATTGGTACCCACAGAATAAGAGGTCAAATTGAAAACATAAACAGAATCTTCTTTTGAAGGCTTTCAGTAAAAATCCATGTTGTTTGGCATATTCTCCCGTCGTGAACAGATTATACAAAGACTCCAAACAGAACAGTGAAGCTCATGCAATCCTAACTGAACCCACTTAATCAAACTGAGGGCCACTTGCGTGGGACGTGCTATCGATATGGAACTCTCAATGACATCACCTTGCAATGCCAAGGGATGATTTATGATGCATCTGACCGTTCAAGAATACAGCGTAATACTTCTGTTTGTTCTTACAAGAAAACAATCATTATCAGCGGACTGCATGGCGTCATTCGATGATACGCATTTTCTGTGCGACCGAAATAAGTGGAGTTGTTTTGATTTGGTGTTGAGTTGTTGCACGCTGGAGCTCATGGAGCTTATTCACCGATCAATAAATAGTTTTGCAAATGAGACCACGTCGATCGGCGGGCGCCATTGTGTCATCGTAGTCATTTGGGTTCAATACGAAATAACTGACCATTAGGATCACTAAACAAGAAACGTGGTAGAGGAGAATGGGACGTCGGAAAAATGAACTGTCGCAAGCGCAATTGGTAACAGGTGTGTGATTGATAAACCGCTTTCTAATTGACCGATCATTGGGCCAACCAACTAGTCATAGAACAGCCAGTCAGACACAATGTGATTAATCGAACGATTTGGTCGATGCAGTTTATTGGATTGGTACTGCTTGCTTTTATCTCCGACAATCAATCCAACTGACACCGTACTAGAGTCATATGTTCAATCATTCCTTCACGAATGAACGCCTTAACTTTCGACCGCGTAGGATAAGAGTTTCAAATCTGAAAGTGTTAGTTTCTTTGGGGATAGAAAAAATATCTGAGGTTGAAAAGTAACAACAAGGGTGAAATAGTTGATCCGTGCTGTTTGTCGGTCATTCAGTAAAGTTTCATCACAACTGGGTTTGCTTGTTCCGAGTTAAGCTACTTTGATTTTTTTCTGTCTATTCTTTCTTCCCTGGCCCACTCCACACACACACACACACACACACACGCCCTTTCACGAGTCATCTTGTTGATCAGGTGATTATGGTAATTGATTACGGTAAACCCCATTTCCCGTCTCACGATGAAAGCGTTTCTAGTAATCTGTGATTTTATTTCATTTTATTTTCCCTAGATAATTTTGTTCGCTAGTAGTGATATATATTGATATGTATAGGCATGAGTACGAATCTTTGCAAACGAGCTTGTTCGCCACTCTGTTGTTCTGTTCGAAATGGGCTCCGTGGAACTATTCCAACAGCCGTATGATCAATTTTTCTAGAAGAGAAACTGGATCATTAGAAGAACTACCTTGTAATACAAAGACACGCGGGAAGCATAGTAGGTGGAACTCGGACACATGGACCTACGGGGTACTAAGCATAGCACCTGAACCGTTTAATCAGCACGATAAGTTAACTTTTATTCCATTCCAATTTGTGGGTGAAGAGCTGTTTTTGCACCACCTCTAAACTCACATTGACAATATCGGAGAAAAGTCAAAACAGTGGTTTGCTCATTGGAATTTACCAATGAGCGAATCGAACAACGGTGAGCACCATATATTTGTACAAAGAGTGATCACAGACTGAAGTCGCAGCAGTAATAAAACTGCAGTTCACACAATCAGTTTACTATGCAGGTATAAAGACAGACGTGTGGTGCTCATGCAGACCGAGAATGACAACAAAAAGAATCAAATTATTTTAAAAGCATCAACAATATTTTTGTTAACACTATGGCTTTGTGCTAGATAAAACGTTCAATTGAAGCTTAAAATTAAGTGACACGATGCAGATTGAACGTGAGAGAGAAAGACAGTTTGGCTGGGTGGTGAGGAACTACATCAAGTTATGACTGCGATGAATTACGAAATTGTTGATCGTGAGTTTTGCAAGACTTATTGATCTGGATTATGGAAACACTGTCAGACACATGCTTCCGTGAGACAGTCTGGTCTGGTCACGTGCTTAACCTTGATCTGCATACTGGTGTCTCTTAAAATTGAGAGAAAGAGATGACGTTTTTCACATGTCGGTAAAGTGGCATCGGGAAAGAATGTCTGTTCGATCAGGTCGATTTGGTTAGTTTCAATTATACAACGCTGGTGTAATGGGGTCTTATTTTTCACTGTACGTGCTTTCTTGTGTGAGTGAGAAAAGCGATCGGCGGATGCTCAGGACATCCCAAGTTCGAGACCAGATTGCTGGGTGCAAAATTTTATCAGATGAATAATAAATGTGCTTATTTTCTTTTCTGTTTATATGTTATAGAAATGTATAATAAACTTTCAGGAAGGAGGTTGCCGCCATCCAAATATTTTCTGGGAAAATACAGAGGATGGGATGATAGGCGGCGGTGGTGGGGTTCGAACTCGAAACCTTCAGGCGTCTACCTTTGCGACCTTACCACTCGACCACCGCAAACCATGTAAAGGGATCGTTTGATTATTTTGCCACTCGTCCCGAGTATTTGATGAAATCATAGTCAGCCTGTTTCAGGTTGCATGCTTCGCTCCGTGCTACACTTTCACCTATGTTGATACTGCAGCAAATGATTCCTCAGTTCGGTACTGGAAATATTGATGTGTAATACTAAGATTTGTGAATAGGATTACCCATCGGTCGAAAGCCTGATGATGTGCAACTAAAATGCGCACTTACCGTGACAAAAATACTTTATTATTATAGTCCTTTACATCATCTCAACTGAAAAAGGTGTGTATCACTAAACATAGTTTCTTTCAAAGAAAAAAAGGTGCCAAAACGTATGGAGTAAAATAGTGAAGGCCGTGTGTAGGAGTCTAAAAAATGTACATTCGTCATTTGAACGTCGTTTTAACGGAGGATGAGTTGTAACCACATAATTTAGCATCTATTAGTCTCCTTTTGGTCGATGATAAGGGATCAATCCACATCAATACAACCTTTTACAATTTTTTATTACATAAATAAATTGAAAAAATTCGAGTCCTATTACATGTAAATGGAATTTGTTTGAGTGAGAAATCTTTGTCTCACTGTGATATCCATCTGTATACAAAGGGTTGAATGTATGCTGTGGCAGTCTAACTGATTCAACTATACGGTACAGGGGCACTGTCTTTAGGATAAAAAATAAACGCAAACATTCGACATTCGAACACCGCTATCTACTTCACTTGGATAAATCAGGCAGGCAGCACCATGATTGGGTGAAGAGTGCTAGATCATTGATGTCGCACACTAAACCAACTGCTTAGGGTACGGTGTCCATAACATTTTTATGCATGTCACTGCACAGCCGTCGTCGGTGTGCGACTTTTGTTACGGCTTTTAGAGGTTGATAAAACGACCATGTGAGCCGGTGAGCCATGTGACCTAGAGATCTTGAACAGAGAATTTGGTGTTGCTGATGAAGAGGGATGAAAGACGCGCCGGTATTTTCAGCTTAGCAACAGAAGATAGTTGCGGACTGGCTATAACGTGCTTGGTAATAAATGATAATTGAGTACTAAAGTGATAGAAGTAGCCGGGTGTTCTAATGTTTAGCACTATTCCATCACCTCAAAACTTGTTGGCCACAGCCACCTTATACTCGGTTGAATCAACGTATTCCCGTTTCTTTTCGAGCAAAAGGTGTATGCAATTTTGAATGCATCTTTTTTTTAATGTCATCATGTTTGTTGCACACAATCAGACAACGACAGTGAAGACTAGCGAATAATTTTTTTTCAAACACCACAATCAAACGAGTTCATTTCGACGAATTTACTGACTAAAATATATGCGAGTAATACGCAACTCTAGCTCGTATTGCTTTATGCAAACCTACTACTCATTGTGTACAACTCTGACAAAAAAATTGCCACGTTTGGGTAATTTGTAGGATAAGCGACTAACGAAAACCAAAATTAACTCCTTATTCTTTAAATAATGAATTACTTGACCAATTTGTGTATTTCCCCTTTAGTCTCATTTTATTGAATACTTATTTACAAATGACAAGTATTTCTGCCTTTTTCGCTTAACGCAGAAGCGTTTTTACAATAAAATTAGAAATTTACATGTCAAATTTTCCATTCACTTTAGACTTCCTATAACGTGGAATTCGATGGGAGTATATGGTTGAACAATTCGAGGATTCTCCCGTCATTGTGCATAGACCACGAGGCCAAAACCTACCTCAGTCAAACAGTTGTTGCTTAACTTGGATTTTAAAAGCACATTATGGAGGTAGAAATGGTATCGCTAATCGCTACGGGTGCGGAAAACTGTATTGTAGAAGTAATGAAACCGATTGTCACAATACCGTTTCAGGTGATTGATGGCGAATTTGCTTGAACGGGCAAATGCTATTATATATATATCAATAGAGTTAGGAGAATGGTTTTGGAGAACGATGTATATCCTTCGACAACTTGCTTGATGTAAGCATTCATTCGGCATAAATTACAAAGGAAACTTAACATTGAACTAAAAATGACTGATCAGATTACATACTCACCT